AAAGCAATCACCAAGCCAATCTGAGGAAGAAAACAGCGGTCTTCAGTACCAGCTTCCCTTTTAGTCAGTTTGTTTTCCTTACTTCCAACATCTACCCCTTCTAAACCAGTGTTTACTTTACAGCTGACTCAGAAGTCTTCATTCTTCCTTAGAGATGCGGTGACACTGCACTTTTCTGGGCTTCAGTATCCTGACCATTAAAATCATGAAGCTGTACTAGATAATTTCTAAGTTTGATTTCTAACAACTTCCAGACTTCTCTTCTAGCTGAAATGTGCTATTAATTTGTTCTAATTCCTAAATCCTGACTTATTATTCACTGAAAACTACAATCTATAGTGCCTTTTTCCTGAATTCCTATTGAAGCATAATCAAAAATTTTATTTTGTGTGTGCTCTGTATAACTATATCTATAAATGGTTTTATTTATTACTAGTGTTTTTACGACTCCACAAAATTTTGAAGGTCCCTCACATACTCTAAAGAAAAAGAAAAAGATTGTAAGAACATATATATTATAAATAGCTGTAAACTGGGTTACATGTTGTGTAGTCATGTGGCATAAACCTTTCTGTTCACTTAAAGAAACACTACCTACATACTTGAACAATTTCTAAGTTTTGACTAGTAATCACAAAGTTTGATGTTTCCATTTCTTTCAATTTTCTTACAAGCTAAGCTGCACATCACAGACACATTTTGTTTAGAGATGTTTAATGACATAACATATATGGTTTCTAGCTTTTTTAAAAAAAATATGATAAGCTACAGATGGTTTCATAAAGAGCAGAGAAAACAGGCTTAATAAATTAATAATGAGGATAAGTCATGTAATCCAGACTCTTCTGAAGCCTTGCTTATCATTACGTGGAAATATGCCTTTCATTAACAGGAATAATGTTGCAGACCTTGTAAGACTAGTCAGAGGTTCGAGGCCCTCTAGGGCTGAGTGTAACAAATGAGGCCACTGGCAGTTAATGGAAAATTGCTTTCATATTAATATTCAGGTATATATATTAAATTAAATACACTGGAGCATTTGAAAATCCACAGATAAATGTGATATTTTCCTAAAGCCGAGACTAAAGGTTGCAAGGTTAAACCTTTCTCCAAAGGATTAACTAAAAATATCTTAGCTACTTCTCGGTTCTTTGTTCTATAGACAAAGAACCCATCCTCCCTAATCCCTTTTCCAGGTGCAGCCCATTCACCTGGGCTTCTCCTGCAGAACTCTCACCTTCCCCCAACTGACCTCAGGGGCTATAGATATGTTAATTGGGCCTGAGAATCCAAGTTGCTGGCCTGGGATTCGAACCAGTGAAGTACAATGTAAAGTTACCTGAATGTCTGGAAAATTACTGATGTTAGCTGTATCCTGTTTTAGTCCCTCCCAGCTTGGTGTGAAACTCCTCCCCTAAATAAAACAGAGGCCCGGGCATCCCCACCTGTGCATTACTGGTTGGAAGGCATGGAGTAAAGATTGCGGTGCATTACTGGTTGGAAGGCATGGAGTAAAGATTGCAGGGCAGTGAGTCGCTGCCTGCAGAGGCCATGATGCCTGTAGTCCCAAGCCTGCCCACCAGTGATGTATCCACCCTGGCTTTGGGGTGCCTCATTGTCTCCCTTCTTCTGTTTGTCTGTGTATTCTTTCGCTATCCCTATCGCCGCTGGATCTCCCCTCCTCGTGAACCAAAAACTCGTGACAACTATGTGGAGGTCAGACCCCGGCAGAATAATAGAAAAGTTGTGACAATTCCACTACCTACAAAAGGACATAATAATTAATTTTTAAAAGAATTAAAAATTAATAGATAAATATGAGATTATAAGCATTCTTGATAACATGACTTTACTATCTGAAATTATATCATTTTAAGTAGTTTTTTATGGAACTAATCAAGTACTATTGTTGCTGTTACATGCTATTGAGTTGGCTCTAACTCACATCAGTTTTTGTACAACAGAATGACATGTTGCCCTGTCCTTACATGTTTGAACCCACTGTTGTAGCCACTGTATCAATCCACCTCATTGGAGGAAGGTCTTCCTCTTTTTCGCTGACCTCTATTTTACCAAGAATGGTGTCCTTCTCCAGGAACTGATTCCCTTGGTAACATATGCAAAGTAACTGAGACAAAGTTTAACCATTCTCATTTGCAAGGAGCATTTTTTGGCTGTGTTTCACCCAAGAAAGATTGTCTGGCAGTCCACAGTATATTAAATATTCTTTGTCAACTTATTGACAAAGAAGTTTTCTTCTTTGGTGTTCCTTTTTTATTATCCAGCTTTCACATTTATATGAGTCCTGGTGGTGCAACTATTAAGCACTCAGCTGTTAACCGAAAGGCTAGCAGTTCAAACCCACTCAATAGCTCTGCAGAAGCAAAGACCTGGTGATCTGCTCCCATAAAGATTATTGTTGTCAGGTGCCATAGAGTCGGAACCGACTCATAGCAACCCCATGCACAGCAGAACGAAAAAATGTCCGATCCTGGGCCAGCCTCACTACCGCTGCCACACTTGAGTCCATCAATGATGCCACCTGGCCAGTCCATCTCATTAGGGATCTTCCTCTTTTTCTCTGAGCCTCCACCTTA